ATATACGATCTCGTCATTTACACATAGCAGAAGCTATAGGAATTCGAGCCAACAATCCAAGTCTATGTGTTTATAAGAAATTTTAACACCCTTATCCCTCCCTTGGTCTGAATAAATGAACTTCTTCATTATTATTTTCCATACTCTTTGTTCGTTTATTTTTCTTCACTCTCCCACCTTTTTTTCTCTTTTTTTATTAAATATACGCTTCGCTTCGAGATACAAGTAAAACAACACCAAGTAAATTTAAACTTCCCCCCATTGCACAAGCAGATGGCAATCAGGACTCAGTAGCTAAGTGGATAACGCGATGGCGTTTGAAGTGAACGGTGCTGGGTTCGAGTTCCGAAGTGAACATTAACTCTGGGATGCGGGTACATCCAGCTGAGTCCCAAATATGACGAAACGCGCGTCCTGGATTCCCCTGCTAGTCACTATCCATCTTTGCTTAAAAAGCTTGTGACTTAAGGCTATATCGAGGCAATCCGCACAGGATGCACATATACCAACATGAAACTGATCAATCGCAGTCCTAAATAGCAAAGGGGAACATACAAGTAAAACAACACCAAGTGAATTTATACGCTTTGCGGTCTAATTACCTGAACACTTATTATTGCGTAATCCTATAATTTTTATAAATGTTACCTCACTGTATATTTTTCTAATCATTGACCTATTTCCGATCATGCAACATTGATTTAAACCTTTATTGTTCTTATCAAAACTAGTACACCTGTCATCACACTATCAATTTGTACTTTTCACTTATTACGTAATCTTGATTGGTTTAATAATTTCGTATGTGCATATAAATATTACTGCACATTAAAGCCTTATGATGATCTAATCAAAAGCAATATTGTTCGCTTGTATGTGTTTTTCTAAATTTGCAATGTCTAACTTCAACCAATCCACGAGATTGCGCCACCGTACACCATTGTCTTCAGTGAGCTGATGTCTCACAACAGACCTGGTTGAACTCCACTGGTAACGGCTCGTCACTAGAACTCCAGGAAATGCCTCTTGAAATCAGTCACTAGTGAGAAGTTGATTATTATCAGGAGGTTTGGTAGAGATTTTAGAAATCATATCAGTTTTTTTAATTATGATATTATTTATTATTATAGAAAATATTCCATGCATTATAATAAATTCAATCACTCCAATCTGTATTTATTTGACTCATAATTTTAGAGTTTAATCAATTTTCCGTGATACTTTTGATTGGAATAAAAGATTATCTTTTGTCTTTTCTTTTACATGTCACAGAAATCGTAAACGAATGATTGTTCCTTTTTATATAGTGATAGATTTTAGAACTTACAATAATCTAATAAGTATTTTCATAAAAATTGAACATAATTAAAGAGTTATTACTGAATTTCGAAAACTACTTTTTTATATTCTAAACTTTATTTCGAATTTATTTGAATATTTTGTCAAATTCAAATTAATATTGAACAATAAAAATATCGAAATAATGAATATCAAATAAACATGTCAAAGAAATAGATCTATTAAAGTAAATTCATGTTCAACTATTTTTACTTTAATTATTGGTTTTCGTGGGTGAATAACTATTCAATTGTCATAAGAATTGAGAATAGATTTTTACTTAATTTCCAAAAATTTCATGTACTTTATGTTCAGTTTCAATGATCGGGAACCGTCGAGTTAAAAAATTACTGGATCTTTGAAAAGATCGTTTACAATCTTATTTATGGATTGAATTCAACAAAATTTAATTATCTGAAATCTAATTGTAACTGTGATACTACTAGACAATTATCAAAAAGTTATTATTATAAATATACAATTTGAATGAGATTATGTAACTGGAATAACAACTTACACAAACAACTATTGAATGGCAGCACAAAGAAAGAACCCGAAATTATTAAAATTATTTTTCTGAAGGTGATTTCTTCACACTATATCTTTTTCCAGACATTATTGATAACTGTGAATTTTTCCTGACATCACTCAACGTATCAGTGAATTGATATCTATTAATCTGATCATTTTATATGAAGTTCTAATTTGCTTCAATTTGTTGTTGTTCATTATCTAAACCTAAAATTCTACTAGCTTTCCGTAAACGTTGATCTTCTTGTAAAATTAGTGGTAGCAATCTGTTCTTATTTATACTAGCCCGTTTTTTACAGGCCAATAATAATCTACATTCATTATCTAACAATTCTTGTATAATAGCCTTTTGTTGATCAATTGTTAGTGTTCGTTTTATCCAACGTCTAGCAGCCCATATATTTAATAATATAATTAGAGCTAGAAACAAACCAATCGTTAGTAAAATCACAGTTGTTTGTTTCAACGCTCTAGCTGTGATTGGATATTCAATTGATTGCCATAAACTAGGTTGTATTGGATAAATTTTTAAATAAAACTCATTAATTAAATATATCCTATTAATAGATGTCCGTGGATTATCAACTTGACTTGGCAAACGATACGTTGGAATAGATAAAAAGCATTTCCATGTCCCATGATGTGTTAAATTTAAATAAGGAATTAATTGAATGCGTCGACTTAATCGTAAAGCTAAATTACGTGAATATTCATAACCATTCAATTTCCACACTATTTGAGCTGATTCCATCCAAACAGCTGTATTATCCAATGCATTAAGATATCCTAGATTAGAATAAAGATAAAACGGATCACTTTCTAGTGCAATATATTTTATACCAGTAACAATCAAGGTATAAAAGATTGTATTCCACTTGTGATTCCCAATTGTCATTTGGCAGGTATAAAAACCTTGATCATAGTGATCTATACTTGGGAAGACTAAATATGTATCCCCCATGTGAAATGAAGATATCTCTGGCAGTCGATTCCATTTCATTTCTTCATCAAACAGTCCATTTTGATTATTCTTAGGCTTTTTAGTTCTGTAAAATCGTTCAGATATAGATCCTGAGCTAGAATCGGTTGGATTTATCAATCTTCCATTTTTAAGCCATTTTATAGTCAAAGTATGCTCTTTAAATAGTCGAGAAGTTAGACCGAAAATTCCTCGGGAAGTTAATTTTTTAGCAAGGTTGTAAGCTGGTGTTACACAGTCCATTCGCGCACTTTGCTTAGCACTCATTCGTAGAATATTTTGATATGCATTTAAGTTAAGTTGATCTTTTGCAACCTGGAAAGTTATTTTGTCAGCAATATCATCAAGGCTACTAAAATCTTCATCTACACAATTATAATCACATTCTGTAGTCTGGTGATTAATCCCAGAACAATTGAACCCATATGGTTCTGGAGGAGGATTGTTACAAAATCGGTAACGTGTCCTACTTCCTTTATGACATCCTTGCCCATTAATGTTTTGCCCACCTGTAGGAAGACATGATGACCATGAACTCCATGTTCCCCAACCTGGAATACGTGGGCAACGTATATTGACAAAGCATGGTATACATTCTTTAGATTGAGATTCATATGGATATGAACTTTCACACATCACTGTTGATGACTGTACATTACCATATCCATCAAGACAACTTCGAACTCGACATCTTACACCATTACCACAAGTGACGGAACATGTTAAGGGTGTCGAAGACCATTGACCCCATCTATATTTTAAATTTCTACTAGCAAGGACATAATTAATTACAAGACAGATTAGTATGAACCAGGAACAGTTCAGCATTTGACAAATAAGTTAAGTATAATACATTGGATGTCTTACAATATATTTACAGTGATTTATTGATTATCTTGATAGATTATCAATTTAAATAATAGACGATAACAGACAGAATATATAAGAATGTGTAAGCATATTACGAAGAGATTCCAATCAGTTAGATGAATTTTACTTATTCAATCAAGAATACATGCCGAGGATAAGTCAATTTGGTATATATCATGGCTTGCTAATCAGAGAATTATAGAACTCTATAGGTGGGAACTAATGGAAAGTAGAAAAATGAACACTTATGAAAGTTCATAGTCATGAATATGACCTGTTTACATTATAGTTATGAAATCATTCAAATCACTAATTTAACTAGGATAACGGATAAACAATCCGGCTTTGAGATTAACGAAAGCAATACCTGGCTACATTACAAAACCTTAAAAACCTGAAGATAAATTGTAAGCATCAATTTGAAGAAAAATCAAAATTAGCTAGTCACGATTATACTTTAAAAAAAATTAGTTTGTTGATCTACGAAAACTAATGGCCTCTGATTAAAAAAGACGATTGTTTCTCTGATGGAAGATCGTTGTATCTCAAATAAAGTAGTATCTTGAAAACAAGGAATTTCATTAGATTGTGTTATGGAGAGCAAATTATGAAGATAGTCAGTTTGCGGCTACTAACTAAGAAGGTATTCTGAATGTGAAACGTTCTTGAGATAGTTTGGTTTACAAAAAGATTCACGTAAACTATATATATATATAACAAGGTGCCCAACTGATCCACTCACAACACAGGTTAGTTTTAACTATAGATCAGAAAAGTAATGACTTCATCAATAGAGTACAAATGAACATTTCGAGTTTTTAATCAACATAGTCAACTGTATGTGCTATGTTTTTGGTTGAATCAAACACACTTGGGACCAAATTACAATGTACTAAATTAAAGATCGAGACAAAAGTTGTACTAACGTGTTAACTGTATGCCTGAAACAACAAGGGAGACTAACTGGTTCCTGAGTAGTAATAGTAAACTGTCTAACTCTTAGTACTGGACTAATCTCATTTATTATAAGAATAAACAATGAGGGTTCGAATCATTCTATGAGGATGAGTCTCCTTACAACCATAGACAAGTGCAGAAAACAAATAACTTGAGTTTGTAAACTATCTTAGCTGCATTCAGCTGGCTAGATTTGGTTTACTAATACTTTATAAATATTTTTTTTACTAAAATTACGCGAACCCAAACTACAAGCAAACCTATCTGATAAAACTACCAATTAATCAAATTCTTTTAATACATGAATGATTTTTACCATTTAAATGACACCAGAAAATGTACACGTATATGTGAAACAGTCAGTTTACTGTTGATAACACTATTGGAAACAAGTAATTAGTTATTATTAAGTGATAATATTCGATGGTTAAATCTATATCAAGTTACTCTCCAATTTAACAGACGTGAGTACTACTGAATTACATCGTGTTGAGATTATTATAACCTTTAAAAAAGTGTCTAAGGATAGTTCACATCGCAATCTGACGTCAGATACAGACAAATGTTTCGTCCTGGTCTGAGGTTATTCAGCAGAGAACCGATGGCTATACATTGAATCGGGACTAAAATCTCCAGTTATTGCGGTGGGCACGATACCATTCACTTACGAAGACTGAATTCAATGATCATTATTTTCGAATTTTAGGGATGTAGTTAGCACTTCGGCGTTGGTAGAAAAACAATCAATGCAAGCATCTGTACAAATATATTTTAACGCGGATCCTTTTGTCGTCTACATTTACAGCATTAATATACACCACAAAGTAGGAACTAATGAAGTTATACGATGAATTATACAAATACTTGACAAAAATAAAAGAAAAGAAAATCGAAATATGAAAAATGCAGTACATTATATACTTTCGTAATGAATCACATATTTGATATATGAATATGACTATTCAATAGTGGCTAATGATTCTTTCAACTGTTTATCTGGGCAGAGTATTTCATCATTAGTTGCCAGGAGAATACAATAATGATCAAACAACTGCATTGTCACTTCAAGGTCATCCAATAGTTCCAAATGTTCTACTCTAAAATAAAAATATAAGCAAAAACGAACTCTTATGAAAGCAACGCCTTATAAATGCGTGTCCAAATAGGTAAAGTGAGATTTAAAAAATCGAAGTTAAATAATTAAATCTTAATTCCCATAAGGATAAGACAAATCAGCAGTTAACCCTTTGGATGAATAATTTGTAAGATAGAATCAAGTTTACCTGGCAATTTTTCATCGTGAGGCTAAACGATAAGCTTCAAGCTCAAAGATTAGGTAAACTCTGACTAATTAACATATTAAAATATTGTATGGATTGGATATAAATTCACTGGTCAATGTTATTTTTTAAACATAAATATTCCTCTTACTTATTTTTACATCCTGATAATGCATCAGAGTTTCGATAGAATCCTAACAACAATAGCACAAAAAACTTTGTGTCGTCATCTCACATTTGGGATAGTATTTACATATATGTTCATTTGATGCGTTCAAACTTCATTTATCAACAACTTTTTAAAAAAGACTTCTACTCGATCGGATTTACTTTTACATAGCCACAAGTTTAGAAAAACGGATATATAACACAGTATATTGTTTCAACTCAAACTATACACATATTCATGAAGTGAAGGTCAGTCAGTCAGCTGCAACGTAGGACCAGGCACGTATATGCATCGGTCCAAGTTGCCATACCGCATTAGCACAACAATATGAACACCGGATTCATAGGAGTAGTTAATTCAGTGGTGGTAATATATAGAAGAAAGATTGTGTATAAGGAGATAGTAAAGGAGGAAAGAATTAGTTCCTAGACAGATATGAAGCGATTTTAATCTCTTAATTTAAGGAAGACAGAGAGTGTATACACCGACGCCATTGTGATCGATTCTGAGCCATGTCATCAAGAGTCTCCAACCATTGGTTACGATAGTCACGCGGACCCCAACCAGGCAGTCTGAATCTCCCAACATGGCTCAGACCAGAAGTTAGTGACTTCAAGCACTGATGCCACGTTTTGGTTTGGCCGCCCCTAACTTTCTTCCAATTATCCCCTGCACTAGTCAGCATTGCGCGTCGTGGTAGTCGGTGTTTAGGCATATGCAACACGTGGCCCAACCATCTCAGTCGATGAAGATTCATAACCTCATCAACTGATTTACCATCATTCCCTAATACCCTGCGTCTAACCTCACTATTACTTACCCGGTGATCCTAGCAGATGCAAGCAATATTTCTAAGGCACCTGTGGTCAAATACTAGTAACTTACAAGTATCTTCTACTCTTAAAGACCATGTTTCACAGCCGTATAGTAGAACCGAACGAACTGTCGCGCAGTATACTCGTCCTTAATTGATAGACGGATATCTCGCCTTCGCCATAGATGACGTAAGTTGACAAAGGCCAAGCGAGCTTTTCGAATCCGTGCTGAGATTTCGTCAGACACCAACTCATTAGAGCTGGTCAGACTTCCAAGATAGGTTCGACTACTTCACTCCCTATCCTTAGTTCAGGTGTTGACGCAGACTAGTCCTGAAGCAACAACTTGCATTTAGAGGGAGAGAAGCGCATCCCAAACATTCCGGCATTGTTGCTTAGTGCTACCAAAAGACTGCATTTTATCAGCGTCTTCACCAAACAGGACTATGTCATCTGTGTATTCTAAGTCGACAGGTGGAACTCCTGGTAGGAGATCAATACCCGAGAATTCAGTCGACGAGAGCGTTATTTCCATATTAATTTCTGATGTAACTGTTACTCAAGGACAACTTCTTTGTTGAGAGCTTACATTAATTTACTGGGGTCTTGAATACAGGTCAAAATCATAACAAACCTGTCTGTTATTTTGTTTGCATCAAAATTCAGATGTTCATATTGTCAACTTCAAACACCACTCGTGTTTTCGAATAGTACTAGGACTAAACCCATGATGTGTATTTTTATTTATTTTAACACATAGATATTGGTACAAGGAGGCACCAAATACATATGTGCCACACAGATTTCAATTGATATGTGTGAGGATTGTGATTCTGCCCGGGTGCCCAAACCTCTCGGTCAACAGAGTTAAACGCTGCTTTTAAGTCAAGGAATACCACCATTCTCGGACGCCGATAAGTATGTCTGTGTTCTAGAATCTGACGAATGGTAAATATGTGGTCGATGCAGCCACGAACAGGTCTGAAGCCAGCCTGATTTTCACGTGTTTGCAGCTCACGAGTTTTAGTTAGGCGTCCGAAAATTATCGAAGCTAGTATTTTAGATACTATATTAGTCAAACTAATCCCTCTGTGGTTGTCACAGGATGATTTTGACCCTTTCTTAAATATTGGGACGATAAGTGATTGTGACCAGTTAGATGGGATAACGTCTAACTCCCAGATTTTAGCTAAAATATTAGTCAACCTAATCGCTAAAACTAGACCACCATCCTTAAAGACCTCTGAGGCCAATCCGTCTGGACCAGTTGCCCTTCCTCGTTTCAGATTAACTATAGCCTTTTGAACTTCAGCTAGAGTTGGGGGACCTACTTCAATGTTCCATTCACACTGTCTGGGAATAGAGGGTAGTTGTAGAGTAGCTGAAGGCCAGCTAAACTGCTCCTTAAAGTGTTCCGCCCATCGTTCTAAGCGTCTGGACTGGGAGCAGATGAGAGTGTCGTCTTTTTCCGAAATGGTCTGACTTACACTTGATTTATTAATTCCAGTTTCTTTTATTAGTCTGTAGAGTTGTCTTGTGTTACCTATAGCCGCCGCCTTTTCCATCTCTTTTGCTTTCGTTGCCCACCACTGCTCACGATCCTTCTTTAGACTTTTGCTTAATCTAGATCTGATTTCTTTACGCTCTTCATCGTATTCAGAACCTGATGGGATGAGTTTGCGAGAATCTATCAGTGCAATAGACCTTGACGAAATCCATTGGTTCTTTGCAACCCTGTGGTTTAACTCACTGGTAGATGTCAATGCTGTTTCCACAGCTGCTTGTATAACTTTCCAAGCAACATCTGGGTCAGTCTCGTTTTCAGAACTACCTAAGTGTGACCTCAGTTGTTCCTGGAACCTACTTTTGGTTTTCTCATTACTCAATTCGGTTCTAATGAGTCTTTTTTGTGTGGCTCTTTTGCGTCCAGTGAGGCGCAAGCAGATGCGTGCTCGTACTAGGGCATGATCAGAGTCCAAGCAGGTACCCCAGAATGAGCGACAATCTTCTATTGACCCTCTCCAACGATGACTGATGGCAATATGGTCTATTTGAGTCCATCGTTGGTTTGGTGCAGGGGGTCGCCATGTTAGACGATGTCTCTCCTTATGCTTAAAATTTGTGTTTGCTAAAATAATCGATTGTCTTAGCACAGTTGCAGCAGACGATCACCATTATCTGTTCTCTGTGCCGGAATACTAAAATACCCACCTAAATGTCTTTCTGTTTTGTTTAAGCTACCTACCTGGGCATTAAAGTCACCTCCTACGAGTACTATGTCTGAACGTTTAGCTTTCTGAAGAAGTTCAGACAGCTTTCTGTAAAATTCATCTTTCACTTCATCCGAACTGCAGTCAGTGGGAGCGTAGGCAGAAACGACGAAAAGGCAACGACGTGTGTCCCTATCCTTCCGAGTTCTTACGGAGCCGTTTAGCCGAACAGCGCATAGACGACTGTTAACGGGGATCCATTCTAATAGCGCTTGTTCCGCCCTCATGCTAAGTGCTATGCCTACACCTGCCAGTCCACGAGAACTAGCCATCGGGTCGCCAGATACACGGAGGGTGTATCTCGTTGGCTCTCCGTTTTGTCGAGGTGAGGTCAAGTGAATGACCACACTAGGATCCTGTATGCGTGTTTCGGAGACACAGCATACATCAATGGTACGAGATTCTAAGGTTTTAGCCAAGGAAGCCTGCTGACCGATTTGGCATAGTGTGCGTACGTTGAAGGCTCCAATGTATAGTTTGGAGCGAGGTTTCAGTAGACCTGGGACAGTGTTTTGAGCACTAGAATCGTTGGCTGTGGTGACACTTGAGGAGGAAGCTAAAAGAGGAAGTTTAGTGTATAAAGTCGATGTAGGAGGAATAATAGGAATTGAAGAGGGAGGTTGACTATGAATACAGTGGTCTTGAGTGCTGTTAGAGGTATGAGGGCGGTTATCACTTCCCGGTTGCCCACACCGTGGAAGGGTTCTTCTGGAGGTACCTGAAAAGGAAATTGGATTAGAGTTGGTCATAGTGACCTGAGAGCGTGACCGCAGTGCCCAAGGGACAGCTGCTTGAGGTCGGTCACACACGACCTTTTTATGAGTGATTTTTGTGTTAGCTCCGTACTTGTTGAGACCTTACCGCCGGAGACGGATATCCGTGGGATAAGGCGAGGTGTGCAATTTTAGGGTCGACCTTTTCTAACCCCACCCCTCCTTGTGGGAAGGCAGCATCGCTGTCATGCTGGTTGTCTGAAGGAAACACCTTACTGCTGTCACACCTCTGTACAGTCAGCAGTACGACTTCGCCTTCGGACCTTGGTTTTGTTGCTTTTAGTCTTACCGCTCTTCAACCGACCTGTCTGGCATGGTAGGACCTTGAGGAACGGTTGTTCCAGCCAGTATAGCTCAGTTGCTTCATCACGATAGGCAAGCCCGACCACCACGTCAAGGTAGCAACAACGGTCAGGTGAAGTGAAGGTCTGATTCAAAATTATTAATACCTAATATAAAATGTTTAGATTCAATGTTATTCGTCTTTACATCAATATTGGAAATGATCACGAAATATGAGACAAAAGATTAGTGATAAGTGATAATGAAAGATAAATTTTGTTTTAATATGTATTATGAAGTTGAAAAACGACCCAATTTAATCTTACCTGTATCGAGTACTAGAAGGTAACATTTTATAAACTTGATTTATAGTCCATCCTTTGGCTTTTTTCCATCCAGCCTTAAGAAATCTGTGAAAAAGAATGAAAAAGAATAATAAATATGCAGATTTTCTAAGTGAATGAATGTTTCAGCTGAATAGTTGTATATAAATTAAAACTGCATTTTTGTTTGAAGTCCTGATGATAAAAGTGAATTAAAAAAACACAAATGATTATTCAACGAACAACTTCAATCAACCGAAATGAATTTGTCATGATGTGGAAATTACATTAACATTTAAATTTTACGCTACATATTAATGTTCGGTTTGGGCACCCGGGCAGAATCACAATCCTCACACATATCAATTGAAATCTGTGTGGCACATATGTATTTGGTGCCTCCTTGTACCAATATCTATGTGTTAAAATAAATAAAAATACACATCATGGGTTTAGTCCTAGTACTATTCGAAAACACGAGTGGTGTTTGAAGTTGACAATATGAACATCTGAATTTTGATGCAAACAAAATAACAGACAGGTTTGTTATGATTTTGACCTGTATTCAAGACCCCAGTAAATTAATGTAAGCTCTCAACAAAGAAGTTGTCCTTGAGTAACAGTTACATCAGAAATTAATATGGAAATAACGCTCTCGTCGACTGAATTCTCGGGTATTGATCTCCTACCAGGAGTTCCACCTGTCGACTTAGAATACACAGATGACATAGTCCTGTTTGGTGAAGACGCTGATAAAATGCAGTCTTTTGGTAGCACTAAGCAACAATGCCGGAATGTTTGGGATGCGCTTCTCTCCCTCTAAATGCAAGTTGTTGCTTCAGGACTGGTCTGCGTCAACACCTGAACTAAGGATAGGGAGTGAAGTAGTCGAACCTATCTTGGAAGTCTGACCAGCTCTAATGAGTTGGTGTCTGACGAAATCTCAGCACGGATTCGAAGAGCTCGTTTGGTTTTTACCAACTTACGTCACCTATGGCGAAGGCGAGATATCCGTCTATCAATTAAGGACGAGTATACTGCGCGACAGTTCGTTCGGTTCTACTATACGGCTGTGAAACATGGTCTTTAAGAGTAGAAGATACTTGTAAGTTACTAGTATTTGACCACAGGTGCCTTAGAAATATTGCTTGCATCTGCTAGGATCACCGGGTAAGTAATAGTGAGGTTAGACGCAGGGTATTAGGGAATGATGGTAAATCAGTTGATGAGGTTATGAATCTTCATCGACTGAGATGGTTGGGCCACGTGTTGCATATGCCTAAACACCGACTACCACGACGCGCAATGCTGACTAGTGCAGGGGATAATTGGAAGAAAGTTAGGGGCGGCCAAACCAAAACGTGGCATCAGTGCTTGAAGTCACTAACTTCTGGTCTGAGCCATGTTGGGAGATTCAGACTGCCTGGTTGGGGTCCGCGTGACTATTGTAACCAATGATTGGAGACTCTTGGTGACATGGCTCAGAATCGATCACAATGGCGTCGGTGTATACACTCTCTGTCTTCCCTTAAACTAGGAGATTAAAATTGCTTCATATCACTCTTTCTACGTACTAAATCTTTCTTTCTGTGCTATATCCCTATATGCAACCTTTCTCCTATATATCACCACCACTGAATTAACTATTTCTATGAATCCGGTGTTTATATTGTTGTGCTAATGCGGTATGGCAACTTGGACCGATGCATATATGTGCCTGGTCCTACGTTGTAGCTGACTGACTGACTGGTAACATTAGGTAAACTGATTAAAGGAACTCTTATGAAAATTTTTTTCAAGTGAGTTTGAAGAAATATTCGTTTTAACAAATAAAGAGCTATTCTTCATGACCAAGTCAAAGATTTTGATTATTGCTACTAATTGACTAGCACTACATAACCATTTGATTTATTCAAGCAGTAACTGCTTTGAACTAATTACCCTATAAATGAAAACGGTTCTCGAACTGTATTATTTCACCTTACAATGTAATAAAGTAGTGAATGTAATATTCGATGGAACTTGAATCGGTAATTGCTATGTTTGAAGAGATTACAAGATCACCTAAAGTCGGCGAACGGAGCGAAGGACCAATAACAAGACAAGCTAAACTACTTCATTTCGTCTCAGCCCTGGTAACTAGAGGGAGAAGACCAAGTTTAGGGAAAGGTGTATCCTAAAAGCAACCGAAAGCACGAACCAATGACATTTAGGGTACTTGCAAGTGAGAAATACAATCCGAAGGTAAAAATGGGCGCTTTTGGAGTGGAATCAAGAAATTCAAATTTCTTAAATAAAATTCCAAAAATAAGACGTTTACCAAGTGATTTATAAGGATTTAGCATCCCTTACAGTAATTACCAGTCACATTCACATACATGGAAATTAAAATAGAAGTCTCACCGTTCTTCTTGAGTAGCCAGTGAATGACATGCATTAAGACCAGGAAGCTCACATGAACGAGCACGAAAATTCTTGATCATAATAGAACCAAATGAATCGCTCATATTAACCTGCATAATAGATAATACGGGATTCGAATACAGCGAATAAACATTCCTTTTTCAATTAGTTTTGCATCATGATTCTACACCAATATATATACTTAACGATAATAATGACAAGGATAACAATAATAATAAGGTCGATACTGACCAGTTAGTGTCGTAGGAGATAATAATGTTACAAATTCATTAGTGTTTATGAAGGTAATTGAGAATGATTGACAAAATAATTAAAAGATCAGAGGAATAAAGTAATTAATATTCCGAGGTACTAATTATGAAATAAATTATGTACTCATACATAAGGTAACATAATACGAAAGGATTGGAGAAATTTTGATGAGATCGAATGTTTATAAGTTACATAAGCACAGGGAACATAAGTTTTTATAAAGAGAGATAGTATAAAAGGTCATTAGTAAAGAAAGGTTTCCATAAGTGATAGTCATTAAGTAAGTCCAGTTTGTATATCAATCTGGAGAAGAGATAACATGTAAAAGATCAGTCATGGGACAGAAAAATAGCTTCCATTTGGTGACAACAGTAACTCATCTATTAGCCTAATGATAATAAAAAAATCTCGTTTAATTTAAGGCTATAAAAACGCGACGAAGTAAAGCTACTTTTGAATTCGTGTGATTTACATCCATTTGAAGTTTGCTTTGATGACACCAGTCAATCTGAAAGTGAAATACCAATTTTCAAATTTTATGAACCAGGAAGATATCAAAATCACTCTGAACTAGGAACGGATTAAATGAAATTATTCATTTAGCTATAAACAATATAAAATTTGGAATAAGCATCCATTGTCCCGCATTGTTGCACCTTGCATTGTGTGCCACACCTATCCCGAAGGTTTTTAGCAGTCTTGTTTCGGTTTCTGATATGCCATTTATGTATGGTAGGGTGATCCGTTTGTTGATTTTTGTGCTTGATTTGTGCTCTGATGCTGCATGCACACAAACCGACAAAATCAATACAGTCAATCCTATGCAAACCAAAGGATGAAATAACAAAAGAAGATAAATCAAACATCATCTACAAAATAAATTGTGTCAACTGCGACAAACACTACATCGGACGAAGCGGACGCCCCCTTCATCTGCGCCTACATGAACATCAATTAGCAGTCAAACAGCATGATATCTCCTCACTTATATCAATACACGTGGACAACTGCGGACACACATTCGATTGGAAAAATGTGGAAATCGTGGACAAAGGAAATTCTAAAAACACAAGAGAATTTTTAGAAGCCTGGCACTCAGGTCAATCAGCAATCAACAAACACATTGAAATCGATCCGATTTATCAACTAATCAGGAAACTTATGCACAAATATATGAACAAGAATCAAACCAATAGGAGACAAAACCAAGACAAAAAAGTAAACAATGACAAATTTAAGGTCGATAAGAACCAATCAACATCGAGGTGCACAGAACAAGCTGTGAAACGCATATGGAGAAATTCGAACACTTCACTTCTATCTGAAGTTTGTGCTGATGATGTCGTTCAGAAGAACGATGAAAGCTCCACGACCAAACCATCCAGCTCAGAGAACAAAACTCCATCAAAATCATCCACCTCAGCTACAAAAGTTCTCCACCATGCTTCGGTTTTGTTTTTTTCTGCACTTTTATTTTTGATTATTATCGAATATTTTTAAAACTACTGTTTTTGCATTTAGGACTCTATTCAGTTATTATTATTACTTTATACAAGTTATCTTGGTTATTATTCAGTTTATTATTATGACCTTTGTGTTTGTCACTTTTCTTCATATCTGTCGATTGGACTATTATCTAACCCATAAACGATTTTATTCCTTACCCCTTGATTAGTACGTAACCTAATTTGTTATTTACTCACGAATCTATTTTTGTGATGCAAAAGTTTTTCTATCCTCCTATAGACACATTTTCCATATAACTATATTTACGAGTGTACAGCTTAAATAAATGATTTCGTCGAAAAGAAAATTTTCCTCGCTGAATGTATGATAATGTCTACAAACGAAAATAAAAGTGTAATAATGACAATTAGAGTTTAACAGACCTCTTCATTTCCTTCAAGTAAATAACGAGATGCCGAAGAGCCTAGAACTGATTTAGTTAAAGAACATTTGCTCACAGATTCAAGGTATGAAAATGCCATTATACTTAGAGGAAGCTATTCAGAAAGTTTTTAAGTGTTTCAAAACATCTAATAAGACATTTGGGGGCTGAAGACAAAAAATCGTATATACGGAATATTTTGTAACTGAAGAGTGAGACAGTAGTAGGTAATCAGTTTAATTGATTAATGTTTACAAAAATAGTACGAGATAATGGTCAGTTAAACCATACTTATGAAGTTAGAGAATTGCTGATTTTCGTTCAACTGATTAATGTATAGACTTCAATTATTTTCGCATGCAAAGATGTGGAATTACATAAACTTATAATGTGGAGGTTTCATATTTGCAAACAACCTACATTTGCTTCACTTCCACTACGTATTATACAAATCATCAATACTTTTTCGAAACTACTTTACCGAATCGTGATATGTGCTTATCTACACACTACTAAGACGTAACCAGGTGGATTACTCAGTAAATCAGTTTTATTTGTTCTTACACCAATCGATTTGTTTCTCACGGCACTCTATTGGTCAGTCAGCTGTGAGCCGATGAGGTCAGAACTATTATTACACATAATGGAAAGACACGCTATAAATCTAGTTGGAATGTTTTAATTTAGTCTTCTGGTGAGAAAAAATCTTCCTTTGATGTCTTTTGTCATTTATGTTGTTTCACGTCCTACACCCTGTTAATGCTTGGTGTGGATATTACTTCCATATTTGACTAGCTGGAGGAATTAATAGTTTGGCATATCAAAAAAAGCTGTGGAAACAGCTTACATAGCAATTGCGAGTAGTGGTGGGAAAAGCAGCAGCGATAGGTAACAATAGACAACTGTTCATAATTATCAAGGAGACGGATGTTAAAAATCAATCTGTTGGTGAAACTATCTCGGAAAAAGATGAAACTTTTATTCACTCTCAATCCAGGAGATTGAACCGATGAGCAGAACACTTTAGGAAACAATTCAATTGACCTTCATCCACACTTTAGCCACTCACTATCTCCAAGCAACCTGCGTAGCAAATTAATGTAAATTCTCTAACTTTTAGTGAGGTTGAAAAGGCTATGGGTAATCTAAAGCAAGGGAGAACATCAGGACCTGATGGACCAACCCCTGAGATTTTTGACGTTGGTAGTCCAGTTTTAGCAATTAAATTAAATGGGACCTTAGCTAAAATCTAGGAACTGAATGTAATCCCATCTGACTCGTTTGAATCGCTGATCATCCCAGTCTATGAGAAAGAACAAAACTCCTCCTGTGGCAATCACAAAGGAATTAGTTTGACCAATGTAGATTCTGAAATATCAGTAGTTCGCCCCGTTCTACTTTGTGGATGTGAAATATGGTCGTTAAGAGTAGAGGATATTCGTTGTCTGAATTTTAATTAAAACAAGAACAGTATTTTCTCCTCAACTTTGCCATCGATGACATTCTGGAAACAGCTCTGATGGATGTAAGTAATGGCGGAATGCAAATATGTCACGGTACATAATGCTTGTTGCTGAAAATAATGATAGAGTATTGGTATACTTCGGAATTTGATGTTTAAACTAGGTTTATCATTAGAACAAAAGATGTCATCATTATCCACTTGGTAAATATAATTATATTTTTTCAGTAAGTTTTGCTTGGAATATCACAAAATCATACATACATCTAGATGTATTTATAATTGATCAGCAACCGCGAAAATGAGTAAAAAAAGTATACCTACCTGTTCATAATGTAGGAATGAAGCACGTGGGAAGTTTACTGAAAGACCCTTTATTAACTGACAGCTTGCCTCTGGAGACATATAAACAAGTACGCATTCAGCAAGGAAGAGAGTTGGGCAACTTTTGGAACAACCAGCTCCATTAACTGTTGAACATAAAACATTTAGAAGATCTTGAACAGGTCTTCGTAAATCGAAACTCAGTAAGTGAAACCGTCCCATTTCAAAAACGTAGTGCAAATTATCATGTAGTGTGTCGACAACAGAATTCTTTTGATTTATTGTTGGGTTTAAATTATCGTCTTTGGATTGTGAAGCATCTGGGTTCAAAGTATAAAGCTTTTAGTTAGATATATAGCATACATATCAGAGAATATGGTAAAATGAGAACGTTGAACGGTCAGTCATTTAATATTAGCGGAACACATTAGAAATAGATATGATAAGCAGAAGCTCAAGTTTAGAATGCGACCATGTAGTACTACAAAATGTGCGGGAGGGAGATAAACTGGCATGTTTATCTGAAACGATATGTAGGGATGTGGTAAAATAACAGAGTTAAATATCACTGTTTGGTAACTTCGCCCGATAAAAGAACCGTACCTGTGTCTATAACATAGAATTGTTAATATTAATATTGAGGGCAGACCACTAAGTAAGAGCATATGTCGATCCTTCGGGGTCGGTACGCGATTTCAGATCAGTGTCTGGAGTATTGATGTGACAGGGCTTGAAATCAATAATATATACATCCGATTAGTGCCTTTGTCTTACTTTTGAATGTCACAATACCTCAAACCAATTGTCCTGATTTTGTATGATTTACCTGGTTTTTAAAAAAATTAACATGGTTAGTATCCTTATTTCGATTTCACTGGGTCCCTCCACTTTAAATATCTTTGTGGTGTAAAATGGCTTGAATGTAGGTTGGATTAAATTGATGTCAAGCTTCGCTGTTTCTGTTTATCGTTTAAAGTTTCAAGATTCTTTTGAACTATTTTTATGTGAATCTACACAGTGTTATTTACCGATACTCAGCAATATAGGATTTCTGACAATTAAACATGAAGATACTATAAAGAATGAGGGACATGCATACTAGTCTTATTAGCTGCTCACAGAAACGGATGACAATGGTGAACGTTGAGAATTACACTTCGTAAAATGAGATCCATACAGGAGAATTCAGTGTAGCGCAATTAAAAATGTGAGTTTGTACGACTTAGTAAGTCTGCTATTACTGAACTTGTGCAGATTGCAAGGAACGTCTTAATGACTGGGTCTGAAGAACAGTTGTACTGACGAAGGCCTAGTGATTAAGGAATTGGACTTCTGGCTATTGGGTACTGAGCTAAAGCACTGCATCATTTCAGTTTGAACCACGAGGTGGTATCATTAGCACTCATACTGTGTGGCTTGTATACAGGTACCTGTTAAGTGACTTATTTTTCACGAACTATGGTATTGGTCCTGATTACAATTAATCTTTCGGGGTGATAGCTCGAAGCTGGACTGGAAAACGGGCGGGAACAAATAACCAAAATATTGTTTGATAAACAGATAAAAGTACATTGAGTGATAAAATATTAACTGTCCGTAAATGACCATTTCAGCTTATATACATGAATAGTAAGAAAGTATGCGAGTTACTTGTTGCTTCAAGCAATTTTCTTCGTTGTATTGTCATAGCTTTTTGCTGAATGTTAGATGCCAAGTCTACTTCGATGTATAGCTCTGGGGTCTCCTGAACATCTTTTAGAGCGAAGTATAGTGTATCTGAGCCTGCACCAAGGTTTACAATTTGACAGGCTCCACCTGTGGACTGGATAAGATAATTCGTACTTTTCAAAAGTAAGGAACCTTTATAAATGATATGGCAATCGCTCTGAATGCAGTTGTTCTTATAAAATAGCCACGATTAATCTCCGGAGTTTTGTGTGACGGAGAGGAACAAAAATACCTGATATACTTGTCTTTCCAGTATCTCCGAGAAATGGCATACGCTTTACTGGATGTAGCGTCGTCATTAGTTAGTTGTATGATCTCATCTGTAGGACTACTCATCAGAGTAACGCTTACTGTATACAACCCGCGAAGCACAAATGTTTGTTAACGGATTTTATGAAGCTTTCATTCAATTGGGTTTCGAGTTTGAAAACAGTATACAGTGATCCTTTTATTTGATAGCCAAAGTATTTGGCAAAAGATTTAGGACAAAGTAAATGTTTTGGTTAGTGAGGTCGCATTCGTGTGTAGCTTTGTGAACTACAAAAGCGAAAAACTTCAAAGACATAACTATCATTAAGTAATAGAAGCTGTGCTTAAAATCCATTTAATTAAAATAAAATTCCATATTACTTTTAGGGACTAGACTTTAAATGCCTTCATGGATGGTTATGTTGTGTAGTAGCATCTAGGTGATTACGTACTCGTATAAATCCTGATTTTTGGATAGACTTCAGTAACTCAGAAGTTATGAGGCCAATGAACAATTTCCATCTCTCCAACAATTCTATTATCTTCATAGGGAATTGTGATCTTCAGTGTAATTACCTTTCATATTCGTATCCCTTTAACTATATGCTTATAAGCATATTCTCAATAGCCGAAAGGCGTGGCTAAAAGAAGTCATCCATGGAATGTTTTTTATGTTCAACTTATTTTCCAATAAACATTATTTCGAAGATGAGCTTACTTCCTTACTTACATGGGAAACTATTTAAATGTTGAGAAAGTTTGTTTGATTTTCAGTGAACTTGCAATTAAATACACATGCCTTATTAACAATACATCACCTGTTTCTTTTTTTGCAGATCTTTTCAAATAACAGTGAATTGACAATTACAATGAAAATTCATAGCGATTGATGCTTAAGCTTCCGCTTTAATGTTGTACAGTAATACACTCTTTCTTTTGAATAAATTTATTTAAACACATACCATTTTTCCCGTGGGTTTCATTTTTAGTGTGGTGTGTTGTGGGAATAAAGGCAAAAATTAGAGACCTTTGCGGTTGTGCCAATAGTGTTTTAAAAGCTGAAGCAAAAGCAGACAATTCGGCATATATTCAGGCGAAAAGTAGACAATCCAGCGACACTTGAGAGACAGAGCTACAAAAAGGGGTAATCCGCATTATTTTCCCCTGACAGGCGGAAAAGCAGACATTTTGGCGCATTTCCGCTTTATTTTGCCTTTATTTTCCGACGCATTTTCTTCTTTATTTCCTTTTGTTGGTTGAGTGGGTATACGTCCCATATCTGTTTGTGTGTGCCTACACACTTATTTTATTCAGGGTCAGTGTGGTGTTTGAATGAACTAATGACTCCTTTGTACTTGTTGAATGTTTGATTTCGAATTCTAAATACAGTACATTCGTTGGTGCTTGTGTAGTACTTCTTGATTCAATTGCGTTATCCCTGGGATTCTTAGTTCATACCATAATTCAATTACTTCTAATTATCACATTGGCGTCGCGATGGAGCCTGCGATGGAACAGTTAGATATTCATTCAACTTATGAAGATTTTGAGGATTATTTGGAAAGGTTTGAAATCTGGTGCATGACCAAGAAGGATGTTAAAGGTGATAAAATTGTGGCATATTTCCTGACATTCATCGGAAAAGGAGCATACAGCTTATTGAAAACTTTGGCATATCCAGAAAAACCTATCTCACTTCCTTATGCAACTATTAAGGAGTTATTATTAAATCATGTAAAGTGCACTAGTTTTGAATGCCGTGAAAGGGCGAAATTTCATAAGATGACTCGTCGAAATGACCAAAAGGTTAAGGAATTCATTCTTGAATTGCAGAAACAAGTTGCCAATTGTAATTTTGGTGATCAACTTCATGTGCAACTGAGAGATCGATTAATTGCAGGAATTAACTTGCCGGGTTTGGAAAGAGAGCTGTTAAGGATGCCGAACTGTTCCTTTCAAGATGCTAGAACTGCGTGTATTGACTACGAGGCAGTGAATGAACTTGATATCCAGTCGATGAATATTTCTAATAATTTGCTTAGTCGTCATGATGAAATACAATCTCAGGGTCAATCAAAATTGCGTTCGTTTAACAGTGGCTCCTATTCCCGTGTAACTATGAAAGGTGTTTCAACAAGGAATTACAAAGGAAATCACAAACGTGAGACCAAGTTTGGCAAATGTTTATCATGTGGAAAAATTCATTCTCGTAATTCATGTGCATTTCGTAATGCTAAATGTTTTAGATGTGTTAAGATAGGACACATTCAATCAGTATGCAAAGCTACTATTCATTTTGCCTCAAGTAGTACTAAATCTTGTAATTTAGATCTCAATAATTCAGCTGTTTCTAATGATCATTTATCTTTGTCTACTGTTTCGAAAGGTAATGCTCACATTCAAAAGCGATTATATACATCGCTTGGTTCATGTCATGACTTTATTGTTGACACAGGCAGTATAGAGTCCATTATTTCATTCAAGAACTTGAAATCTTTAGATCCTAACGTTGTGGTACGACCCACTGAGGTATCAATATTGGGGATAACTGGACACAGACTGCCTATACGAGGATGTTGTGAGTTGCTAATAAGAGATGATAATTCTTCATACATACCTTGTGAATTTTTAGTTAGCGAAACAGGACTGTCAATACTGGGCTTAAGGAATTTGAAAAGGCTTAAAGTGGAGCTGTCTTTCCTAGTTTCTAAAGAAAACAATGATGTTTTACTTAAAGATTTGATAGCCACGTGTGCTTAGTGCAGTGGAGGTATGAAGATTCAGCCTATAAAACTTCAAGTACAGGGTGAACCAGTCTTTCTTAAAAGACGAATAATTCCTTATGGTCTTCAAGATGCAGTACATAAAACATTAAACGATTTGTGTGCGAAAGGCATAATTGAACCGATCCAGTCCTCAGCATGAGGTACTCCTATTGTTACGCCACTGAAGTCGGACGGCAAGACTCCTAGAATATGTGGTGACTATAGATTAACACTGAATTCCCGTTTGTTGAAGCAAACGTGCACGACGGTAGAGGCTGAAGATATTCTAAATCGACTTCATGGTTCTAAAGTGTTCTCGAAAGTTGACCTAAAAGATGCTTATCTCCAAATCCCTTTAGATCAATCTTCATCTCTTTTGACGACAATTAATACTCCTTTTGGTCTGTTCAAATACAATTTCCTTCCATTTGGTCTAAGTTGTTCTCCAGCTATATTTCAGGAAGTCATGAATAATGTAGTTAGTGATCTTGAGGGCGTTGAAGTTTATCAAGATGATCTCATTGTTCATGGTTCTGATAAGGTAGTTCATAACCAGAGACTTATTGCTTTATTGCGTCGTTTAATTGAGAAGAATATTACAGTGAATCCAAATAAGTGTTCATTTTGTGTATCTAGTTTTGAATGTCTTGGATACCTAGTTGATGATTATGGTTTTAGACCAGATATGAAACGACTAGCTCCATTGACAAATGCACCGTCTCCAAAAAATCTTACGGAACTACGTTCACTAGTGGGTGCTCTTCAATACTATCCCCGTTTTATTCCTAATTTTTCTTGTCGTGCAAATTGTTTATTTAATATTTTGACATCCAATTCATTTAAATGGGGTGAGGAACAAGAGTCGTGCTTGCGTATTCTACCAAAGTTTCTTCAAAGTGATGCTTTTCTTCGAACTTACTCCCCTAGTGTACGGTCTGTGCTTATCACTGATGCATCACCTGTGGGTATTGGCGCAGTTTTGGAACAGGAAAGTAGACCAGTTATTTGTGTTTCACGCAAACTTACTGTTACTGAACAAGGCTATTCACAGACTCAGCGAGAAGCATTAGCTGTGTTTTGGGATGTTAAAAGACTTCATAAATATTTATTCACAAAGAAATCACTATTGTTACTGATCATGAGGCTTTAAAGTTTATTTATCATCCTGAAAAATCCTTAGCACGTTCCTCAGCTGCTATGGTTCAACGATGGAGTATTGCTTTGAGTGCCTATGACTATACGGTTCGGCACAGGAGTGCCAAACAAATTCAAGATGTTGACTACATTTCTCGACAGTCATTACAAGATAAACCTGTAAATACTTCAGACTGTTTGTTAGTGCAACCATTACCAGTGAAACGTCCAGATCTCATTAGAGAAACTCGTAGATACTTCGGATGTATAATTAATGCTATACGGAAAGGTTGGAATGCTAATCTGAAACGCAGATTTCCTGTCTATTTTTCAAGGCGGGATGAGCTATCCACTACTCCTGATGGTATTTTGTGTTTAAATGATCGTGTTGTTATTCCTCCTTTATTGCGTAAATCTGTCCTTGAAGATCTTCATAGTGGACATTTAGGTGTTGAAAAAATGAAGTCATTGGCGATGCTCACATGTTGGTGGCCAGAGATAAATGCAGATATTTGTCTTACAGCAAACAATTGTGAAAAGTGTCATAAGCTGAAAAATCAGCATTGGAAGTGGACTCCATGGCCAGTATCATCTGAGGCCTGGCAGAGAATTCATGCAGACTATTGTGGTCCGTTTCTTGGCAAATACTATGCGCTTGTAGTAATTGATTTTTTTTCAAAGTGGCCTGAAGTTTTTTTCACAACTTCACCAAATTCTGACTTCACAATTCAAGCATTAAGAAAGGTGTTTAGTCGAGAAGGGGTTCCAATGGTGTTAGTGACTGATAACGGCTCTCATTTTGCTGCGGATGCAGTCACTACCTGGTTAAATGGTATAGGGTGCAAACATCTGTTTACTGCTCCCAGACATCTTTGTTCCAATGGTCAGGCAGAAAATTTTGTCAGGACGTTAAAAACTGCCATTGATTCTATTGCCGCCTCAACATTTAATGAGCTGGGGAGGGGAGTAGATACCTTTCTACTGCAATATAGAAATGCCAGACATTCGGTGACGAAAGAGACTCCATTAAAGATATTAAAATGAAGAATTCTTTGGTCGAATATGAGATGTTTGGAGTCTGCAGAAGTAACATATTATCGTGGAAATGATTTTCGACCATCCACAGGGATTGTTCTGAAGAATGTCGGGAAAGCTATGGTGCGACTTCTAGATATCAATGACGTAAGTACACACAATCGACATGTTGATCAAATACAATTCCAGGAACCAGGTGAGTCTGTTCCCATTCCGGTTGTTAATTCCAATACTAATGAGTGCATTTT